AGTTATTTCTACTAGTATTTTTGAAAGGTTAGTGATGATTTTTGAAACTTACATGTCTTATTTTTCAACTAAAAATCTGTAAATCTTCTATTTTTTGGAATTTGCATATGATATCATAGTCAAAAAATTTTAACATTTTGTTTGTATTGGTCAATATTTCACAGACTTCATAGTCTATGTCTCCTCAGACTTCACGTGGAAAGATGATGTATGCAGTAAAAAGGAAATAATAAAGGAAATAAAACCTTCATTAATTTCTGCATAGCTGAAATCAGATCCAAAAGGATAACAAACTTCCCATGGCGGGAAGTGGCACACTCACATGCTAAGAAACAACCATACACCGAGGATCTGAGGTCCTAGAAATACAGTCTTCTCAGACATGTTCTAGCTTTCCCCAAACAGGAATGTATTTTTATCTTTACCATCAAAACATCAGGCAGGGGAGAAAGAAAGAACATTCCCAGTGGAGTGAGAATGCCAGGGGCTCCAATCTCAGGGGCTTCTGCCCAGCTACTGATAAAATGAGCCTCAGATCCCTGAAAATGATGTGGTGGATATATGGGAGCCTGATCTCTAGGAGTTCCCAGACCTCTTCCCCTAGTCCTAGGAAATCAGGCAGCCAATAGAATCAGAATTCTCAGACAGAAGCTTAGATAATTCTCCTGCAGAAAATTTAGCTGTTTCACGAAAAGACATTTTGATACAAGCACTTAGATATTACTCACTGAAAAATTGTCTTCAGGTTGGCATCTCTACATGGTGTCAATAATAACATGTGTCTATTCCAAAAGATTTTCAGGATATCATATGAAAGCTATACAAATTATAATTATACTGTGACTATGGATCGGAAGGGTGTTGTAACAGGAAGAGGAAAGTTATAAGAGATTAATCTCTCCTATTAAACAAACCAAGTAGCTAAATATTTGTATGGGACAATAGAAAAGATTGTTATATAGGGGTAATATTTAAACATAAATTAGTGCAAACCAAAGCATATAATAGCCTGTTAAATTTTAAATAATATAGTGTTGATTAAATAAAATGGTATTGCTTAATATATTCCTCTATGCTGTGTTATATAAATAGTTTACATTTTCATCAGGAGTCATACACAAATAGTTTTTTTCTTTGTTCATTTATATATTTAATCATTTTGCAATTCTTTTTGGATAGCCAAAATTAAGGGTCTAACTTTGTGTTTTTTGTCCTAAAGAGTGAGTCAATGATAAAATCAATAAATTGTGTGATTCTCATGTTCAACCATGTAACTATCATTACTAATATTTATGCTTTACTTGATATTGGGTAACTGAAAGTATAAATCCCTTCATTAAACACACCTCCCTAACCGCACTCAAAGATAGCTTGGCTGATGGATGCATTGATTAGTTTGTGATCATCGTTCTAAAATACACTGAACTCTCACATTGCATGCTGGTATAGTCTTTATCAATTATGCCTTTAAAAAACCTGGAAAGCAATTTACAACACTGAAAAATGTAATTCTATTTTAGGAGCATTGCTTTCTGTTCCTAGTAATTTAAAATTTGCAGTCACTTATTGACTGACTTATTTTTTTAGTTCTGGCTATTGAAGGCAGGGCCACAGCAGTAGCCCTCTTCCTCCATTTTAATTTTGAGACAGGTCTTCTCCGATGTTGTTAAATTGCCCAGGTTATGCTCAAACTGGGGATCCTCCAGCTTGACCTTTCTCGAAGGCTGGGATTACAAACTTGCAATTGTACACCTGTATACCGAGCTCACATATTGAATTTTTACATCTTTTGGTTTTGTTTTTTATATCCTGAACTCTGCACTATATTTTCCTAATTCTCTTAGAACTCTCTGTAAAAACATACCGCTTTTTGGTATGTCCTGTTCTTCAGTGGGCGACTGTTGCTGTCAAAACTTCTTCACATAAAATAGGAAGAGTGTTAAAGTCTGCTGCCTTAGTTGGGAGACTAAAAAAGTAAAAGACCTGCTCCCTAATCCACCATATGAATCATCTGGGAGCAGAAACCAGATGATAAAATCATTTACACTGACCTTGCTTCATTTATTTATTTGTGAAAAAATAGTGGGTTTGGGACTGTAAGTATCTCCCAGGAGTAGAGTATATATATTTTTTTCCTAACATGGGAAAACTCTGGGTCCAGATTTGACCCCTCACATAGAAAAAAAGCTATCAAAAGACAGCTAACTCATGATCCTGTAAGCACATTAATTTACCCACCTGTATCCTCCCTATTTAAACAACATATAAACTATTCATTAACTTTTTAAGGGCCACCTTTCTATTGCTTTGAGAATGGCTCCCACTCACCTGAGAATAGAGGTACAGTTTTCAGGTTCTCCTTTTTGCAGAAAGTCAGCATCAGTATGCAAACGTTGCAGTAATTTGTCCATATTAAATATTTAATTGAATCAATTATAGTAAGCAAAATGTGAATCTTTTGACAACGCATTTATTTTTATTTATTGTTCCATTTATCTTCATTATGGCAAAGTTATTTACCTCTCACATATTGTTTCATCCTTCTTGACCGCAGTTGTTGGATTTCTACTCTGTACTAAGTTATCTCCACTGACACCATTTCTTCAATCTCTCCACAAAAATGCCTGTTACCCAAATCACCTGTGACAGCTCTGTTTCCATGCCTGGAAGTTTCTTGGTTTTTAAGCTTGATCTGTGTTAACCTGTTAGGAGTGAGCATTTTTATTCTGCTTAAATGCTCTGATTTTACTCACCTGAGCATATCACTATTTTCAGTAGAGTTTACACCTTCTTTATTTATTACTCTTCTTTCCCTGATCTCCCAATCTCTATATTCTGGTGTGCCTCCAGGTTGGTATCTGTGATTCTGTTTATATCCATGCCAGACATGATTTCATCTGACCACAGATTTAAATATCCTATGTGTTCTAGTACTTCTAAAATCCTGTTTCTTTTAGATTTCTTGCTTGATTCACTTTCATGTATCAGCTCAATGTGCCTACTTTTAATAGGCCCATCAAAGTTAGCAGTATGGTATGATTTTGACATCTGTTGTTGACTCACATATTTTTTTCTCCTGCAAGTTTTTATTTTCCCTGTTGCAGAAGAGACAATTCTGACTTTTCTATTTTTGTAAGCCAAATGCCATGCAATCATGCATGATTCTTATCTTTATCTTACAGAATTCATTCATTTTGCAGTAAACTATTGTGATTATTTGTAGAAAATTCTAAAATATTTCTAGTTTTCAGATCCCTATTTTTTTACCTTCCTGATCTGGACAATTACAATTTCACTACACACCTGTGGTAATCTATCAAATGGGAATCTTTAAGAAGTTTCTGTACACTTTCAACCTAACAGGCTGAGCAAGCTTATACAAATCTCTGTATTCAAACCTCTCGAAAATCTAAATATTTTCATTGACTTTAATCTCAACATGAAATCAGTTCCTTAACACAGTAGCAAAGCATCCCATTGCCCTCTCCACCAAAGTCACTTGCTGCTCCTCATTCCTCAGAGTCTCCCCAGTCCTCACCTGACTGGCCTTCTTAGTACTTAAAAACTTCAAAATTCTACTAATATCAGGGCCTTAACAAGTGGCATGTGTTTTGCCTTGAAATCTCTCTAGGTTTCTAGTTCTCACTTTATTGTGCAAGTCATTAAAAAATAATTCAATGGTATTTTTAATTGTAACTGTCCTACTTATTCTATTTAAATGAGCAAGAATCTAGTTTTTTTTTTCTTTCATTGAGTAAAAGGAAAAATAACATAGAAGTATACACACAAAGTAAAAAAAAAAATTCCATACCAAAATATTAGACTCTTTCCATAATTGGTAGTCATTCCATATTTTCATACAACTAAAGCTTTTGACAAAGTATGCTTTCTTAAAATTTCCATCATTTTTTTTTTTTTTTTATTTATGTGAAGGATTCATTTAAAATAGTATCTTTTCATATAATTGTCCTGTCAAAATTATTTGACAGGTATCTGTCAAATTATTTTTGTAACTCAATTTATCTATCTCCAAAATTAATAACCTGTTATTGATTGCTTTCTATTTCTGCAAGCTTAGAAATAAAATATATTGTCATGTCTGATGGTATTTTCTCATTGCTTCTAAATAGAAAAAGTTTTATGCTGCTTCTTTTCATCTTTAAATTCCTTTAGCAATCTAGCAAAAACTTTGAGCTTGCATCCTGAAAGGAGTTCGATTTGTTCTTTACAAATTACTTTTAATTTCAATTTCCTGTTTACTTTATTTTTTTAACCTTCTTGAACTTTCAGTATATTATTTTTGCTACAGATGGTTAAAATACTGCTGGAGTTGAATGATTTTCCTTCCATCCCTTTTTCTGTTTATACTGATTTTTTGCAAATTTTTTCCATTCAGTAAGCAGAATATATCGTCCTTATTGATGAAAACTAAAATTTCTGAGTTTGTTTTTTACTCATTTTTGAGAGAATGAATGAAAAACATACAGAGATTGTGGTGTATAACCTAGTTGATATGGTTAAGAACTGGGAGATTTAGGTACAAGTCTTAATCTTTGTAATACAAAAGTGAATGAGCTTCTTAATTGGAAAATACAGTAAGAACAATATTAACAGTACTTAAAACTAATATTTAGTCTCTAATATTTAGCAAATAATTTTAGAAAAAAATGAAAACATTTGCCAAACACTAAACCTCTTTGGGATTTTACTAATTATTTAATGGATTTTATTCAGGGAAGAAAGTATGGAATCCCAGAGGTATGGAATTAGAATAGAGGCACAGAAAACAATGAAAACAAAATACAAATCAACAATATCTTTATTCACTATTTTGAGTTGCTAAGTTGCCACCAATGGTAGCTAAGATGCCCTGGTAAATGATATTTTGTGTAGATTTCTGGAGGACTAGAATTCTCTCATTTCTCCTAAACTTGTTTCTATGTGGGCATTGTTTTATTTTATTTTATTTATTTCACTTTATTTCATTTCATTTCATTTTCCAATGAAAAGCACGAATGCCCCCCTCCCCACCATCACAAATAATGCAATCAAGTTTTGCACCTTTGGAGAAATCATAGAGGTCATCACATTTGTAATGCACTGAATAAACTTTGTCCTGGAAAAACCACTCTGGAGATTGTGATATCTCCCCTTCCAGCTAAGTATTGCATCCTATTTTAGAGTAGTATGCTGCCTCACTACATGCTTTTAACTTTTTTCATACGCATGCTGTCTTTGATCAGGTCTTCTAATCATATATAAACCAAGGTTTTTCACTTACGGAAAGCAAATGCTGGTCTTCTCGTAAGTCTGCCATTATGATTATAACCTGTACGATATGAAGTGATAGAATTTCTATTATGTTCAGAGATTAGCTACAAAATATTAAAAAGAAGTACAAATACCATGTACCCTCTTCTTTCTCTGTTCTCTGCCTAGCATTTAACCTGCGTTTTGAAATTCCTCACTTTCAGTACCATCATTTGTCCCATCTAGTAACAAAGCTTTTCGCGCTTGTCAACTTTGATTCATGTAAAGTTGGGTAAATAATACAAGGTTAGTTGGAAACACAACTGTGTTCTATTGCATACCATTTTAAGGATTCTCAGTCTAGCTCCCAGTGATCATGACTTGAAACTCCTCCACTGTATTTTTATAACGTAATCATTAGGCTCTTGCTAAAAGTGTACATTCTATTTGACAAGGAAACATTTCAATTGCCTTTCATGTTAAATCACGTGGGTGAAAAAATAAATTATTAATACATTTTTGCATTTTTCTCTGCACTTATTGTCTGTATAAGATTAATCAACTCACTTTCTCATACTTATTTTTTGTCATTAACAAAGTGACATATGAACAATATCTATCTGTTAAATTTCCTGGAACAAATTAAAGGAAATTCAAATGTAAGTTATAGAATGAATTGCAAATATTTTACAAAAGATAAATAAAACATATCATAAATTTTAGAAGACAGCAAGCTTAACCTCCCACAGTGTTGAGATTCGCCACATGCTTGGTGTATAAACTTGTCTAATGAACTGTTTCTTTTTGAACCTCATTTCCCCTCACCTGCAAAAGGATGTCATCATTATTCATAGGAAAGATTATGATTCCTTCTGAAAATACATTTAAATCACCTAGTATAGGTGCTCACATATGGTGCTAAGAAGTGATAATTCCTTACCCCCTTTAATATGCATAACAACTTTGCTGCTTTACTTTTTTTTTTATCGATTATCACACCTCAAATAAAATTCATTGGCTATGACATTGCCACTGTGCAAAGCTCTTCTAAATTTCAAAAGATAAATCTGAATATGTGAGAAAGGCAGATTCCTAGAGTGAGGTCAATGCATACTGTGCAATAATCTGTGAGATACAGGGCATAGGAGTCTTCGTTGCTCTCTGTATAATCAGCTCACTTTCATGCCCACAGTAATCCTAGGAGTCACATGACATTATCACCTCCAGTTTACATGATGAGATGAGGCACAGAGAAACTCAGCATGGGCCATGGTTATGCAGCTAGGAAAAAGTAGAGTTGAACACCCTGTACTTGCGCTCTGAACAAGTAAGCACACTTGCCTCGTCAAATGACACAGATCTCAGAATTCTACATTTTATAGAAGATCCTCTCAGAAGTCACTAAATCAACAGGAAAATAGACAAAGTTGAAATGGGGAAGGGGCATTGTTGTATCTTAAAACTGCACAGCATTGATCCTTCAAGGCCAGGAAGAAATCACTGCCTACGATTTGTCTTTCTGTCCTTAGCTCAGCAGATTTTTTTTCTTTAAAGTCCTTCCATTTTTGCAGACAGACAAGGTCACAAAGATACACAATGGCCTAAATTTTTTTTTAAGCTAGCTTTCTGACTGGAGAGTCAGTGACATTTACAGCTCTTTAATTATACACAAATGCCCCTTTCATCTTGCATAATGCTGAGCAATAAAATAAAATGCACATTCTTTCCTCTGGGTGGCTATTTGGAACAGAAAGCATTTGTAGTATGTGTTAATCAGCACATCTATATTTTGGCGAGGTATATATGGGCAGTAGGTGCAGGAGGACACTTAGTCTATTATAATGAATTTATGGTGCTGAAGAATCCACAAAAGGGTTAGAAAATGTTGGCTATTGTGCTCTTTTTAAAAAAATATATTGCCTAGGATGCAGAAGTGCTGACTATTGGGAAACAAAAGTTGATTATAAAGAAGCAAATAGCATGACTTGAAGTTACATTAAAATAATTTTTAAGAATTTGATTAGGAGACATGGAAGCCAAGGTACAAGAAAGACGGTGTACTGTTACTTACAAATAAATGTTTCTTGGCAAGACTTAGTAAGAATGTTGGCTCTGGGAGAGAGACAGACAGAAATTCCATTTTCAGGGGGTGCACAGAGAAACCACAAAAACTAAATAATTAAGGACAAGTTGGAATGTGTAATAACATAATCCAAGAACTATAATTATTATATCAGTTTGACTATTCATTTTATGATCATCCTTACTTCTTTGGTTAGCATATGTTGCAAAATATTCTGAGTCTTTCCTTTTGCCAGGTATTTATTAAATAAGTATAATTTATTTCTGGAAGATACGAGCTCCTAAAGGTTTAAAGTTCATTTTACTAAAAACAAATATCTAGGCCACAAGATTATCTTGAATGCAGAAAATTTATATCACATAAGCAAATATTTAAGCAGCTAAATTAACATTGCATAAAAATGCTTTGTAAAAAAATTCAGGTCAAAATGTGTACCTACAAAATATTAGTTCTTACTATTTTTAATTCAGACATTTTTTGACTTTCAAGTTAACTGCCAAGTATATTTTAAGAATTTTATTGTACTTCATCTTTTTATACTATAAAAAACGCTTTAAACTACTTAGGAATATTTATGAAATTGTGCTAAGAACTGTATTCTAAAAGAGAAATACAGTTTAGTGATTCCCAATCAAAAAGATAAATTTAAAGAAGAGAACATACTTTAAAGATATAAAAATAAATTAGTATGTAGTTATTTATTTATTGTTTATTTACTTGTTTAGTTTTTTGAGACAGTGTCTCATTTTGCAGTGTGAGGTTGGCCTTGAACTCACTAAGTAGCATAGGTGACCTTGAACTCACAGTGATGTTCTTACCTCAGCCTCCCAAGTGCTAGAATTACAGGCACAGACCTCCATGCCTGGCTCGGTGTGACATGAGTAGCAAATACTAAAATATTGAAAAATTGGTAGGAGGAAAATTTATATGGCTATCATGATCAACGAAGCCCTTACAAAATATTTATCATTAATTCTCAAAGGAAATGGCAATTTGCAGCAGTAAAAACCAAATATTGTCTGAAAATGTCTTTTGCAGATATTTATACATAAAAGCAGGGATAGTCCATGTCTTGAAAGATATTCAAACACTTAACAGTAGTATAAGCACAAAAGGCAAGTTTGGAATCCTCCATGATTAGAGATTTTATTTTGGAATTAGTAAAAATATGCAGTATTTCGACATGGGAAGAGTTACTGCATTATGTTTAATATTAAACAAAGGACTAAGACCTTGATTTTCTGAATTTAGTTTTGCATTACATTAATTATGAAAACTATTTTTATTTGAGTGTTTTGATACTAGAAATTGAATAGAGGACTACTTGCATGCTGGATGCATGCTGTATCCACTAACATATGCCTTCAACTTCAGAAAACTGGTTTTGAAAAGAAACTGGTTTTCACATAGCAGTTACACATTGAACATGTATGATTTACTGAATGTGACACTAAAAAGACTCAGATAAAAAGACAAAGGTAATTACATTGAATATAATGTTTAAAAATTAGTGGATAATACTATTGAAAAGGTTAGATAGATTGTGGGTGCATAAACATGTAAGTTTGTATAAAAGAACAGTTTTTAAGAGTGTATAAAAGTATTTTCAGTTATTGAACTAAAGGGTTGGATAAGTAGTCTTCACAATCTGTACAAAATTTCAAATACTTATGCCTATGTGGAATTTTAAAATATTATGTGATGTTATATAGAAAACATTTCATGTAGCAACTGAATTTTAAGTGACACTTTTATAAAAGGCTTAAAACGTTCCTTTGTATAAATGTCTTGAAAAGTTCTTCAAACAATAGGTAGGAAGGCATATAAAATAAAAGTGAATTTTGAAAGGTTATTGGCCATTAGATACTATATTGCGAGTTCAATTTTTAAAGACACATATTCTATTTTTTTTAGACATTGGTTATGTTACACTCTGATATGTTATTGATCATTGACTTGATACACAGTCTCATATCTTCTACAGAACCAGGGACTTGATGTATGCCTCATATCTTCCACAGAACTAGGGAAGAAATCACTGCCAGTAACTTAATATTCTATTTTTTGTATGGGGTAAAAAGAATTTCAATGTGTGGTAGAAATGCTATTTAAAATGTGTCAAAATTATGAAAACTGAAAAAAATGAATTCAAAGAGAATAGTAAAGAATTAGCAGATTCAGAAAAAAATTGCAAAAAATGGAAATAACAAAGTCAATAGAAATTATAATAGGTAAATTTTATTTTTCTAGTATGTCAAGATAAAATATAACCCAATTTTCAACCTTTGATATATAGAATAATGTTGTATGTTACGTATTTATAGAGCTCCTAAAAGGGATCATGTGACCAAAATATTTGCATTGAAATTTTTAAGTGGGAATTTAAATGAGAAAAACTCCCAAAACAAACAAACAAACAACAACAACAAAAAAAAAAAAAAAACACAACAACAAAAAACCCTTCCAGTGTGATCTTTAAAATACCTTCAAAGTAATTTTAAAATTATAAGCCATAAAATTTATCTATGGCCTCATTTATTCTTTTTTTTTAAAGAAATGGATAAAGCATACTGTGTTATGAAGACAGATACACTTTAGTCATTTGTAGAAAAATAAAATTACATTGAGATTGTAATAAGTGAAACAACCAGACAAATACATACAAGCTTAACTGCTTCACGGTATCTCTGGTAACACAAAGTGTTTTTCATACGGGGGATCTAAGTCATGACCTCATGCTTGCCAGGTAGGAACTTGTGCTGCGGAGCTGTATCACCAGCCCAGTCAGATGGGTGTGTTTTGTTTGTTATTCAAAATTATGAATAAATAAAAA